AAATATATATACTAATATAAAAAAAAAGTAAATTCTATTACAATATCAAACAGAAATGTAATTTCTGATATTTGTGTCTTAACTTCTAATATTAATTTAAAATTAATTTTTACAAGTCGATATTTATTCAATTTATGTTTTTGTTTGTTAAAATTCACATATTTTTCCTATTTTGTACTAAAACATCAAAAATTTTTAACTTTATACAAGAATTTTAGAACTTTTGAACAAAGAATGCATGCATATTAAAACACTAATAGTTTATTTAAAACTTAGATATGTACATATTAAATAATAAACAATAAATAAATTATAAAAATTTATAAGTATAAATTGTTAAAATAGTCCTTATTCGTTTAAAATTTTTTTGATTTTTAAGTATTCTACTTTTGATAGTGGCATTGGACCCCTTTTTTTTTTCTTATCTGATGGCTCACAAGTAACTTTTTGCTTGATATATTGAGAACAAAGTCTTTTATCAATGCATTTAAGTTTTTTTTCTTGGCAAAATTTGCATGCAGATGTAATATAGCATCATATCACTTTCATTTTTTACTTGTATTGGTGATAGAAAGGAAATTTGCATTATTTAAATATTTTTTTAGATAAACTAATCTGGATAAATCCTCATTCAATGAACCTATCTTTAGAAATGATTACCAAATTCGATTGTTCTGTAGGAATTTTCTCAGCCTTTATGATTATTCTTATTTGAAATATATGAATACTAATTTAATATTTCAAATTGATTCTTATTCTCCTTCTGTTATCTTTAAACTTTAACCTAAATTTCCTTTCGATTGTTTATATTTTACTTACAAATTAACATCTATTTAGATTATTTTTTGTTACAAACATGTCTTTATTTCGAACTTCATCTGGCAGGATTCCCAACAACCAACAGGAGATTTATAATAACTTACCTCTATCCTATGATGAATCCCAAACATTAGGTATTTAAATATCTTTGTTTCTTCACATAATTACTGTAAATATTTTTACACAAATTTTCAAAACAAATTTTACAATTTCTTTATCAACAAACTTATTTTAACAATAATTATAACAAAATAACTACTACTTTTTATTCAGTTGTCAAACAAATTGAGACTATAACTGATGAAGTTGTAGCATCATCTGATAGTATATTTATAAATTATTTATAAAAATCTTAGTATTATTATTAAACAAATTATTTTTATTTAGATACTGCTTACTTGTCAGAAAGACTGACAAGTGAATTTTCTCAATATGAGAACAAAATACATTCTCTGGAAAAATCTATTATGACTTTAACAGATTATTTAAAATCATTAAAAAACATTATTTTTGTTTTAATTTTTATTATTTTTATTATTTTATTTTTATTTGGGAGTTATATTTATTATACTCAAAATATTCATTTGATGAATATTCAACTTCTTAGTTTACAAATTGAGGTTGAAATAAAGAAAGAACTTTTCAACAATTATTTAGAACTGGTTCAAAAACAGTTTTTAGAATTTATAAAATCAATCAAAATTAAATAGTTTAGTTTTTTTAATAATTGATCACTATTGCTGAGAGTGTGTCTCAGTATTATTCTTCTTCATTTAAATTCAATATTTTGTTTTATATTGAATTTAAATGAAGTAGAACAATTCATTTATTTTATCTATTTAATAAATCATTTATATATTTTAAAATTATT